GTGAGGTATCACGCCGCATTTGAAGGCGTTTTCAAAACAGCCAAGTTCCGATACCCGGATTATCGTTTTGCATACTTCACATTCTTTTGTTATATTCCGTACTACTTGTTTATTTTTAATCCTCGTATAAATACCACCCATTTGCTAAATACAATTCTAGCTGGAGCGCACTTCAGCTATGCATTCACGACTGCAAAAATGTCAAAGGAAATCGACAAGCCCAGCGTGCATGGAGGCTATTTCCATTTTAATCTTCCGTCACACTCTTACGGCGCAATGTTACAACTATTTAAACTCTCCGGAATGCGTAAGGTATCACGCCGCATTTGAAGGCGTTTTCAAAACAGCCATGTTCCGATACCCGGATAATCGTTTTGCATAGTTCATATTCTTTTGTTATATTCCGTAGCACTTGTTTATTTTTAATCCTCGTATAAAAACCATCCATTTGCTAAATACAATTCTAGCTGGAGCGCACTTAAGCTATGCATTTACGACTGCAAAATTGTCAAAGGAAATCGACAAAGCCAGCGTGTATGAAGGCTATTTCAATGGAGGACACCGCACCGCAAGAACAACCTATAACTGGAAACCGCGTTTTGAGAATAACGTATTTAAAGTTTTGTTTTTGATGTATTGCGCAGACTTTTCTATGCAGGTACCCTGTTTTGGTGTTTTTGGGTGACCTAACCCTTCTATTGAAGGATGCCGGGTAGATTTTGCGATACATTTTGGGTTTACACTCTAATATATTTAATTTAAAAAAACGGTTTATAGTCCATTATTACGCCCAACAGTCATTTTGGTGGCAATATGAAGTATAAATCATTTTAATCACGCATGATTAACGCAAAATGAAAGAATATCGATAGTGAGTAAAGAAAGGGGTAACTAGCACCTTAGGCCCTTAAGTTTATAGGTCGTTCTTGCACCCATCGATCCAGAGGCCTGACTTAACTCGGAAAAAAAAAAGGTTTTTCGACCTCGAGCCATTACCTATCTATATTCTATCGCTACCACAGCATAGTCCAGGGTGAGTAGAATCCGAAAAGCAGATGGGCGTAATAATGACCTGTACGCCTATAGGCTGTTTTTGGTGCGGTGAACTATGGTCTGGGGGCGCCGAATTGTGGCCAAAAATCCGATTTTTGAAAGTACGAAAATCTGGCAATCGAGCATATAATCCTTATCTACATCCTTTAGTAGGTGTGAAATGACCTATCAGATCTTATGTAATTGTTTTTACGATCAGATATATGGTGGCGAACTTCACATCCTCCGAGGTAAGTAAACAAACGTGAGAATTTAAAGTGCACGTCATCGTGTATTGCCTTGTGTCGTTTTGTGATAAGTTGGCGTAGATCCCCGATCAAATATGGAAAAGAAAGGTGAAAGTAAGTACTTTTTGATGGTTTAATCGTTTTTAGTATTAAGATTGATTTTATGACCACCATGAGACTCCAAAGTTTTGTCCTGATTTAGGCAAAAAATTGCCTTCACCTTAAGTTTTAGTTATCACTAACACGAGCTAACACGTTCTTATTAGTGCAAAAATGTAGCTCATATGTTCCTCTAACAGGATATCATCGGTTTTTTTGCCGCTTTTTGCCTCTGGGGCCTTTTTTGGTCATTTTAGTGAAGGACTTAAACGATTTTCTGCGCGATCTGATTTCATTGCAGAAGGAGATAAGAGAGACGAGACAAGGTCAACGTTTGATATAGGGTGATTCATATGTATTTTTGGCTGCTGAATCCAAAAATGATAACAGTTTTTTTCAGCACTTGCCAGATTTCCGGGAAATAAAGTTTTTTTTTGCAAAAAACCTCATTTTTAAGCAAAATAATATTTTCTCCGGAAAAACGACAAATGGTGGATAAAACTTAGGTATTTTTTTTTATTCTTCAGCCTGTATACATAATACAAATTTATTAACTCGGCCCGCTGTGGTGCGTAGTGCTGGTTGTAGTGCTGGCTTTAAGATCAAGAGGTTCCGAGTTCAATTCCTAGCTAGGCAACCCGAGAATGGTAATCCGCAAGGTTTTAGGGTCTGATCTGGGTCTGGGTCTGAAGGCCCCAGAGGCAAAAAGATGCAAAAAAACCTATGATATCCTGTTAGAGGAACATATGAGTTACATTCTTGCATTGATAAGAACGTGTTAGCTCGTGTTAGTGATAACTAAAACTTAAGGTGAAGGCAATTTTTGCCTAAATTAGGACAAAACTTTTGAGTCTCATGGTGGTCATAAAATCAATCTTAATACTAAAAACGATTAAACCATCAAAAAGTACTTACTTTCACCTTTCTTTTCCATATTTGATCGGGGATTTACGCCAACTTATCACAAAACGACACAAGGCAATACACGATGACGTGCACTTTAAATTCTCACGTTTGTTTACTTACCTCGGAGGATGTGAAGTTCGCCACCATATATCTGATCGTAAAAACAATTACATAAGATCTGATAGGTCATTTCACACCTACTAAAGGATGTAGATAAGGATTATATGCTCGATTGCCAGATTTTCGTACTTTTAAAAATCGGATTTTTAGCCACGATTCATTAGGCCTAGAATCTTTATAATAATTCTAACCATGAAATTCAGCGCAGAATGGTTGACAGCCTCCAATGAGTATAAGAATGTCAAAGCTATTTAGGTGTAAGTAGTTTTGAGTATATCTAGAAAATTTTGCTAGCAGGGTTTGATGATCAAAGAGTAAATTATTTTTAAAAAATCGCTAGAAATGACAATTTTTAGGGACAATTTTTGGTTCGGGGAGGGGGCGCCCTAAAGGGCTAATACCATATGTCTTGCTAACACGAATATCACCATATTGAATGTGCAATTTTTTAAACTTACGTTCCAGTCAGGATCAATAGACCGAAAAACATAGTACTGACTTGATTCAATTTCAATCATTTCTTCTCCTCTTATTTTTCTGGATTAAATACGTATTTTTGGGGCTTCTGCACTGATAACCTCTTGACCATTGAAAAATAGATTTCATATTATAGTTAGACAACCTTCAAAACATTAAACTGACATTCAATGTGGTATTCTGATCATATTTTGGCTTTTCTTCTAATTTTTTGGTTTCAAGGGCCTGCCGCCATCTTGGATTTAAGAATTTTGTAAAACTAAGGTCAAATTTGAATTCAGCGACCCAAAAAACATAAGTACACCAAATTTCATGATATTCTGATCATTTCCTGATTTATGGCCACAATTCGGCGCCCCCAGACCATAGTGCGGTGTCCTCAATTTCTTTCATGTTATATATAGTTTATAATATTTCAAACGATAGGAAGGATCATTTTACGATGAAGTCGCTACAAATACGTTGACACATTTTACGAAAGAAATATCTGAATTAACCGTAATACCTCCTCACTAATCTACGTGTTGCTTCACTAATGACTGGGTTTTTAAATGATGCAACTTTTCGGGCTCAGCGGCCACGCTAGGAAGTATCTTTTCTCAATGAAGGCGTTTCTTTCGCGTCTCTCTCTTCATCAAATAATCATCTGAACAACCGCATTACTGATCGATAAACGCTATTAGAGCTGTCGGCGCCAAATAAGTTCACGCACTTTAAGGTGATTCGTAAAGTTCAAAGTGACGTGGTCGAACTGGTATGCGATATATCGCATCGATTAGGTAAAAAATCTCGGCAGATTTTGAATTTTCAGCAAAAAAAAAGGACGATAGCCCCTGCGTATAAGCCAACAGAATAATTCTAAACCCAAAAATCGGCAAAATTCAGAGAAATGGAAGCAGAATAGTGTTTGGAAAAAAACCTCGCATTCGATTCAGCTATCAATTTCTGTATCTAATGCGAGGTTTTTTCCCAAACACTATTCTGCTTTCATTTCTCTGAATTTTGCCGATTTTTGGGTTTAGAATGATTCTTTAGGCTCATGCGCAGGGGCTTTTTTTGCTAAAAATTCAAAACCTGCCGAGATTTTCGACCTAATCAATGCGATATTTCGCATGCCAGTTCGACCACGTCACTTGAGCTTAACGAATCACCCTCCCAAGACTGCGACAAAAAAGCCGTCATCTTGATTCTTGCTATTAGTTTCAGTGATTGACTAATGCACGATCTTCTGTCGCAGTCTAAAAGTGCATAAACTTATTTGGCGTGGACTCTACGCTGTTGAAGGGGGACTTTAAATTATGCAATTCGGCCTCCGCGGCCACGCAAGGAAGTATCTTTTCTCAATGAAGGCGTTTCTTTTGTGTCAAGAATCTTCAACATATTATCACCTGAAGAACCGCAGCCACAATCTACGCTGCTACTATGTTGGTGAGGATGCAACTATTCGGCCTCAGCGGCAACGTTAGGAGGTATCGGTTCTCAATGAAGGCGTTTCTTTTGTGTCAAGAATCTTCAACATATTATCATCTGAAGAACCGCAGCTACAATCTACGCTGCTACAATGTTGGTGAGGATGCAGATGCAACTATTCGGCCTCATCGGCAACGTTAGGAAGTATCTTTTCTCAATGAAGGCGTTTCTTTCGCGTCAACACTCTTCATGTAATAATCTTCTGAACAACCGCATTACTGACTTCTTGTTGGAAAATTAAGCCCCGAAGTGTGATACATTATCTGAGGAGGCACCTGTTGCCCCTTTACATGTGTCTTCTAAACTTTGTCCCCATTTTTTCTGCTCCTCTCTTCCCTCTTTCTTGCCCCCCTCCCCCCCGATACTTTCTCTTTTTTTATTCCCCTCTCTTCTTTTTTCTTTCCCATTTAAACTCCTCTCTCTTCTTTCCTCTTCTTTTTTCTTTTAAATTTCGGCGTCTTTGGCAATACAGCGCTTGGTTCAGGAAGCGAGCCAAGTAGATTAGAAGTATTACAAGGTGGGAGGGGTGGAGTGACGCACTGATGAAAAAAGAGCGTCAATTTGAATAAACCGCCAAAAATAGTGTCTTGATCAGCCGCTAGAGCCGGCAATTATTTTAGGTTATGTTGGTGTAAACACATTACACAACACAGCGAGCCAAACAAGTCAAGAATTTTGGAACTGTATTTTAATTTTCCTATTTTCCTCTTTCTAATCTCGTGGAGTCACCTTTTTCTCCTTGTATTTTCATGATTAGAATTCTGCTATCTTTGATTGTCAACATTGATCTCAACTTTCCTCCAAAATGTCAATAGAAATTGAATCAGCGGAGTAAGTATCCAAATGACCCTTGATAATTTTTCATTTAAGTTTATTTTATACTTATTTACCGGTTTTGATCAGATCTTATCAGAATTGCCGCCTTATCCCTCTATGTTTCAGAATGGGACTCTGTACGAGTCAAGTTTGATGCGTAAGATATCAATCAAAACATTTGCATGACAAAAATTAAGTTGGCTCAGCCACGTTGTATTAATAGAAACAAAAATGAAATTTGTAACCGCCATCCTTGTGTACCAAAAAGGAATTGCATATTATAAAAGTAGAGGTTTTACTATTTTGAATCTCCTGGGGCTTGAATAAATGGGTTTAAAAACAATGTAAGTAACAGGAGCTGGCCAGCTGTATCAACCACAGTGTACATAGAGTCGTAATGTAAATGGGAGAGCTGGCGCCATGTTCTGCACGACGAGGTCCAAGCCCAGTGTGCGCCCAGCTCGGGTCACTTTTTCGATACACGTTCCATCGAAAATAGTGATGTGGAAAACGCTATAATTCCTATCGTCTTCGTTTACATCGGATGGCCGGGTACCCGTGTATCGCAAACAATTGATCATGTATCGAAAAAGTGATCTGGCATCACACAGGAGTCTTGGAATTCGGGCCCTGGAAAATGTTTAAAAGTGACGCCAGCTCTCCCAATTACATTATGACCCTATGAACTCTATGGTATCGACAGGACCAAAAATAAAACTTTCAGTCATTTTTATTTACTCACCCCCCAAAAAAGCACGGTAAGAAATAATCATGCCGCTTGCTGTGTCCAATGTTTCAATCAACATTAGGCTATAAAGCTGTTCTTCCAGTTCAATGGTACAGTAGTTTTTTTGTTTTGTTTAATATTGTGCTTTTTTATTTTTTTCCCTAGTGTGATCCGTCTCATTCAACAGTACCTAAAGGAATCAAATCTAACGAAAACATTACAAGTTCTTCAGGTAATATTCATATCCCAGAATGTGTATGTATGACGCGGTTGAGTAATTGAGAGTTGGATACTCAGCTATTGTTAAGAAAATATTACTACATAAAATATTCATCTATAATAACAAACTAGCAGTATTTCGTATTTTCAATAAAAAAATTCAAAAATCAGAGGGAGTCAGACTCATTTTAACTTGAAATGAAAGACAGCTATGAAGATTTCATTTAAAATGATCATTGAAAGGTCGTTTAAGTGTCAATATCGGGAATAAAAGGAAGATGAAATTCGTCCCTTGAGGCTGTCTGAGGAAAGAGACTTTTTAGTCCATTTCCCCCTTGGTATTTTTAGACTGCTGAGTATTATACCTAAGTGAAATCTGGATGAGACAAGACAAAGGCAAAGCATTTGATACCGTCTCTCTAATGGATTTTTTTTATTTTTATACTTACTCTTGTTTTTTTATCTTCCCCAATAGGAGGAAACTGGGGTGACACTGAACACAGTGGAAAGCGTTGATGGGTTTGTCACAGACATCAACAATGGACATTGGGATGTAGTTCTGAAAGCAGTCCAGTCTCTTAAACTTCCTGATCACAAGTTGATAGATCTTTATGAGCAAGTAAGTATTTTGCCTGCTTTTGGATAATTTTTCTATAACTTGGTTCACAAGTTTGCTTGCCACAGCAGTCGATTTGCCTGATCTGAGCAAGGTTTTCATTAAGCACCTCTCTTGGACCTCGGGAGAAAAAATTAAAGACATATATCACATTTACCACAATGCATCAGTTGACCCATTGGTTACCTCATAAGTTTATGTTGAGTGGTGCCATTCTCTGATGTGACATTTCTCTTCTTTTCTTTCCCTAGTTCTAAAGTGGAAAGAGAAAAAAAAATCAGGAGACTGTGATATGCCAATGACGCAGGCATGCGGAGAGTTTGAAGCTTTTCAAGGAGAAGCATAAATCATAGGCTATCAATACTTTCCCATCTGAAGCTAGGATGAGGAATCAATTTTAGGGTGTTCGTCGCAAACACCCTGTGACAATTGATCCTTTTCCATGGGATTAAATGGCAGATAAATTAATTCACCGCAAAGCTTAGCATGTCTCTGCAAGCCCTCCTTATAAGTAACTTAGTTTTTCTCCATTTTGACCAAAATTCATGATTACTTTCTTCCAATGGTGGAAAAAAAGCCGCTCTCCTTAAGAATTTAAATATTTTTCACCCAATATTTTTCTTCAGAAATGAAAGTAATACAAACAATTAATATTCCCCCATTTTTCCATATTCTCACAGGATTTCCTCCATATGAAATGGTTAGGCTGGTCTCATGATCAAGAAGTTTCTACCTATGCCCCAGTGACGGTGGGACCAACCAGTTACGATTTTAATCCAGGGTCACAAAAAAACACAACAAATTAAAAATTTTATCTACTTTTTTTTAATAATTTATTTTTGTTTCAGGTAGTCATAGAACTCATTGAGTTGCGTGAACTTGGAGCAGCTAGGACATTACTTCGTCAAACTGATCCAATGATTGTCATGAAACAACAGGAGGCTGATCGATATATTCACTTAGGTTTGCACAATCTATCAGTTTTATTAATTCTTATTCCCTCTCTGAAAATGTAAATCAATGGCTGAAACTGAGAATTGCATATTTTAATCTCACTCCTTCTTAATTGAACCGGCTCACGGGAAAACGTTCGATGTCCATTTCTCTATTTGCAGAGGGGTCAAAGGGCTGAAAATAGTGGGCCCATCCCCCCTTCTCCCTCTTAAATGTTTACATACCTTCCTTAGGTATCCCTAAGCATTATATGTAATCTCCGTAAATGCACATTGATGGCTGTAACACTCACAGGAAATGAAACTGTAAATGTATTACCCCAGTTTCTGTCTTGTTTTTCCCCTTTTCATGGGTTTCCTAGTATCTTATTTCAAATTTGACTTTGTTTCGCATTGATTTATCCTTCTTTATATAATTACAATCGATTTGATGCATTCTAGGCAGTCCTAAACACATTTTTTACTGGGCGCCAATCTCAAATCGTGCTGATATGTATGTGTCTGATGTTCATTATTTTTCTTTTTCTGCCGTAACTTTCATTGAAACCTTAAAGAAAAAAGTAATATTTTTTTTTTTTTGTGTCACCAGAAGTCTGGAATTATGTATCTTTCCAATTTCAAGGTTTTTTGAGGGTTCAAATGAATTATTTGGGGGCAGATTTATGCAACTCATGTGAAAACGTTGTATGTCCAACGCCGTTTTTTTTTAAAAAAACTACTCTGCACTGGGTGGGTAGGGAGAGGGAGGAGTCGTTTGCCTTTTCTACAACTCTCTACTAAGATACACATTCTTTGACTTTCTTCCAAACGCTGAATACAACGCCTCCGAATTATTTTGCGGTTGACCAAAAGTTGGTTTTTGGATATCAGACATTTTTGCACTCAATTGATAGTTCCATTTTGTGGGGTATTTATTTTTCCTTTCCTTTTTTTTGGTCAGAAAATCTACTTGCTCGTTCCTACTTTGACCCTCGAGAAGCGTATCCAGAAGGCAAAACGAAGGAAAAAAGAAGAGCCGCAATAGCACAAGCCTTGTCTGGTGAGGTCTCAGTGGTGCCATCGTCAAGACTGTTAGCCCTCTTAGGTCAAGCTGTGAAATGGCAGCAACTCCAAGGGCTACTTCCTCCAGGTTATTATTTTAATTTTTCAAATCGATCCTCTCAATCATAACTAAGCGTCAAAAAGTTATCTTATGAATGTAGCTATTGTCCATCTAGTGACTACAAAAAGATTTAAAGAATGAATACTTCATAACTGATAAGAAAGGAAATAAGGAAAACTGAGAGCAAATGATGATCAACCCAATCTGTTGTAGAGTCCTTGCCAAATATGTTTACTCACTTCTAGACTCCGACCAAAGATTGTGTGACTTTAGTTTAGTATTTAAAGGAAATGCAAGAATCTAAATGGCAGATATTCTGTTGCAGTCTGAAAGTGCATGAAATTATTTGGCGTCGACTCTATCCCATGATTAACGAAATAATATAGGGAACATTCTATTAATTTATTTTTTCACTTTCTCTCAGGTACCACCATTGATCTTTTCCGTGGTAAAGCTGCAATCAGGGATCAGGAAGAAGAAAAATATCCCACTCAGTTGTCAAAACAGATCAAGTTTGGTCAGAAATCTCATGTTGAGTGTGCCCGATTCTCGCCAGACGGTCAATATCTAGTCTCTGGTGCCGTGGATGGTATCATTGAGGTTTGGAATTTTACAACAGGAAAAATTAGAAAAGATCTCAAGTATCAGGCTCAGGTAAAAGAATTTTTCTATCACGTAAAACTGCAAGTATATGGTTATGCAAAGCTTATTATAAATTTATTTTCTCCAAACTAAGTCAGGTATCATAGTTGAGAAAGGAGAAAATTGCCTCTAGAAATTATTCCTTTTTAATCCATTGATGATTGATTTGAATACAAAACAATTAATTTTATAGGTCCAACTTTTTGTTCAAGTACTCATAATTTCACCCTAAAATTTATATACTCTCTTACAGGATAACTTTATGATGATGGAAAAGGCAGTTCTCTGTCTCTCATTTAGCCGAGATTCAGAAATGTTGGTCGGTGGCTCAGAAGATGGTCAAATCAAAGTTTGGAAAATTGCCACGGGACAAGTTTTACGAAAGTTTGAAAAAGCTCACACAAAAGGAGTTACTTGTTTACAGTTCTCCCGCGACAACAGTCAAGTATTGTCTGCATCTTTTGATGCAACAGTCAGGTCAGTTATGATATACTTGCTTCTACAAATTAACAGGTAATCAAGTGGCACCTTCCTATGCTACCAAGAAGAGGAGAAAAAATAGCAGCCTTTCAAAAATCACAAATTTTTGCTACTCTGTATGCGTACAAACATATGTGCTGGAAGTCTCCATCATAACTTAGAAATTGACAAAGAAACTGCAGAAGTGCTAAACCCAGTTTGCAATATTGTAGACTTTCCATCATGCCTTATTTTTTAAATTGAAAAATACTCTATGTCATTCCGTGATAACCTCCTTGATTTTTCTTCTCTCTCTTATGTATATTATTCTGTGAAAATTTCAAGTAATAAATTTAATTCGCTCTTCCTTGATCAAATAAAAAGGGAGTGGAGATTTTGAAAAATAATTAATGAAAGGCGCATTCTTCCAGCTGCACCCTCGAAATATTGCATTTCATTTACTGCATGTGCGCATTCGTGACTTGTTATTTTCCGAGCTCTGCAGACTTTTTCAGCATTCTATGCTTAAAACTCAGGGGCTTTTGCACTTAGACCAATTTTGGGGAGTATTTGTGGGCAGATGTGTGGGGAAGCAAAGGAAGTCTAGCTTTCTAGTCTTGTGAAAAATGTATTTGCCTGACTTTTGTTGATAATGAGCTTTTCATCGGTTAATGACTCTATGAGCGGGTGGTATTGAGCAAACACTTGTGTTTTGATTGATGCTTTGAATGCTTTAATTTGATGAGCAGAGGCTGTAGTAATAAGTTAACAATTTAATTTCAACTTTTTCTTTTCATGAATAAATGTTAGGACTTGATAATGAAATGAAGAAAATTTTATCATGAATAAATTTTACGTTTTTAATTTTTACGGCAATTTTGCGGTCTTTCATGTCAGGGTTGACATAGCCAGCAGTTGTGTGTTTTTTTTCTTTTAATGTTATTGTGCAATTTTTTAACATGTTCACTATCTTGATTTTGTTGGAATTGTAGAATCCATGGTTTGAAATCTGGGAAAACACTGAAAGAATTCCGTGGGCATACTTCCTTTGTAAATGAAGTAACTTTCACCATCGATGGACACAACATTCTAAGGTGAGTTCTATTTTCCTAATCGCCTACTTATAGCAAATTTTGCAACTCTTTTTGGTCTAAAACTTGTCTTTAAGCACTATTTTTGAGGCTATGATTCGTAAATATTGGAACAAAAGCCAGGGAAGACCCTACAAGTTTTTCTTTCTTTTACTTTTTTTTGCATCCAAAGGGATTACAATTTAGAAACATTGAGAAATGTTAGGACTTGATAATCCAATGAGGAACATTTTATCATGAATAAATCTTATGATTTTAATTTTAATCTGAAGTTTTACTGTATTATCTGTGTAGCTCTCATGTCAGGTTCGATACAGCCAGCAGTTATGTATTTTTCTGTGAGGTTTAAACAGACCACTTAGATCTTGAGGAACATAATTAAGTATCTAAATTATTTAAGTTATGCTCACATTTCATATAGGATTCAGAACTTTAGTGTTTTAAGCTTAAAGCTTAAAACAAGCTGTTTAAAGCTTTAAGCTTAAAGGAATGAGACCCTAAAGGTCCATGTTTAAGCAATCCAATCTATTATCTATTTTTCCTCTTTTGTTATCTCCTCAAAACAAATACCATCAAAAGTAAACGATAAATTGAAAATGAAATGATACTTTTTTCTTCAAGCGAGAAGGAAAATTTAGGAAATTATCTTGTAAATTTTTCGAAAATCTTTTTTTGAACTAGCCAGCTTGACAAAGAGATCCATAACATTTTTTTAGATCTAACAGAATTTCGTCACAAAAGATTTAAACTTTTAAGATCCGAATCTCTCTTCAAAAAAATACATTAATTTGAAATCATAATTCATTTTGAGTAATCACAGGTATTTAATGTTTCAGTGCATCAAGTGATGGGACAGTCAAGGTGTGGTCTGTGAAATCAACAGAATGTATAAATACTTTCAAATCACTGGGAACAGCTGGTGCTACTGTCAATAGTGTTCACATTCTTCCTAAAAATAACGATCACTTTGTTGTTTGTAATAGGACCAATATCGTAGTCATCATGAACATGCAAGGACAGGTATTTTTACTGATGAATTTGCATATTATTTCAAACTGGGATCATTTAAATATAATGATTCATTCCTCCCTTTTTGCTCTGTAAGTTAATTATCGGCTGGAGCTGATTAAATATTTCCTCTGTTCTGGAGTAAATAACCTGACAAGTTCTAAAAAACTCTTGGAAACTAAGAAATCTGCTATATTCTAACTTGCTGAAACCAATGAACAAGACTTAACAATGACAAACATTGAGGTATATTAACATCTTCGTCAAATAATCCGAATTAACAAGGCTAAATCTTTCAGTTTTATGTATGAATCAATGTCAGCTGTGAATAAAGTTTGGATAATCAGCCTGGTGTTATCATAAATTTCAAAGCAGGAGGTAGAACAGGGAACTTAAAAATGAAATCAATTGAATATGCATTTTTACCATCCAAAAGAACTTGATTCAAAAATATCTCCTTAACTATTTCTAATGCCCTTTGAAAAGCAATTGGAAATCAGGAAGCATATGCTCTGTCAGGAAAATTTCAAATCTACGCAAGCTTGTCCTCCTGTGATAGTCAGCACCTAATCCTTGTTAGAGTCCATGCAAAAAAGCTTACACACTTTTAGACTGTGACTTAGGATCGTCTGGCGTAAGTTTAGCATTGAAATTAAAAAAAAAGAGTCAAGTTGGTAGATCTTTTGTCGCAATCTGAAAGTGCGTAAGAATATTTGACGTGGACTCCACAGAAAATATTATTTTTTATAATGTGTTGCATGTACCAAACTTTTTTCATTGTCAAGAGATTACATTGGCGGCCAAACTTGGAAACCACATATCTCGTAATGTACGTTTGTAGATTTCTCAGTATTCTTTACTTTTCAATTTGAAAACTAATTAATGTATGTAATATCCTCAATATTTTTGTGATATTTCCCCTTTATTTGAAGAATTTTCTAAGAAAATTCAAAAAATAAGGTTATCTTGACTCCTAACTAAATAATAAAATACGTCCGGAGACTTTGAGACATTGCAATAGAGACCTTTTTATCTGTGCTCTATTGCAGTTGAACAAAAAAGGCAATGCTCAACATCTATCATCTTTTTTTTTGTCTGACAGATTGTGAGATCGTTTTCCAGTGGTAAGCGAGAAGGAGGAGACTTCGTTTGTGCAACTCTTTCGCCTCGAGGAGAGTGGATTTATTGTGTCGGAGAAGATTATGTCCTGTATTGTTTCTCAATCACATCTGGGAAATTGGAGCGAACACTGAATGTAAGTTCTTTGGAAAATTTCTCAATTATGTGCTTCTCAGTTAATTTATCATTAAAATCCTAATTTTGTCTTTTCAAGCTTGATTTAAGACAAACATTTAATATATTTGGACGTTTTTCTGCCAAACGGAACTATGTGCATCCAGACAAGAGCCCTGAGACCCGTAAGAATATATCCATCACAGGGCTCATGTCATAATGCACATAGTTCCGTTTGGCAGATATACGTCCATTTATGCTAAACAGCTATTGAGGTTTCGCTGGTGGTACTTTTACAGAGTAAGTCAGCTATTGTTATCATATATATCACCCACCAACATTTCGTTGCACCACCGTATGTGTATTTTTCCTCTGAGGTCCTGTCAATAAAATACGTAACGCTGAGGGGAGGGACACTGGTTTAAGAGTGCATTATAAGTGTATCGTAATTACATCCTGAATCATAAACTTATTTTTGAGTCGAAAATTCTTAAAGTGTCACAGCATAGTATGCATTGATAGCAGTAAAAGAAAGCAAAGCATAAACCAAAATAATAAATATTTTGATTTTACTGTACCTATTTCCAAAGTCAACTTTATTTTGTAACTGTCCTTGATTTGTGCGTTCAATTTGAGCCATGATTTTGAACATTAGTGCCTAAAATTGTTTTTTCTCTTCCCCAGGTTCATGAGAAAGACGTGATCGGAGTTGCTCATCATCCCCACCAGAATTTACTCTGCACATATTCTGAAGACGGGCTTCTTCGTATCTGGAAGCCTTAAACAACACACTTTGAAAGAATTTCAAATTTTAATAAGAAACCACAGCAATGAATCTGCACTGTTAGCTATGAACTTGCCTCCCTGAAAACATGCTGTAATTTTTAGGAGCATCTAAACTTTGCTTTGAAAGCTTTTAAGTATGTTAGGTGATAATTTTCGCAAGGCAACTACAGCTATTGCATGCATGTGCTGACTTTGAGCATGTACATTCAGATGTTGTGAAATTTTGAAACTGGTGGTGTCCTCATTTAATGTAAAAGGTACAACAACAAAGTGAGTGATTGGCAGTTGTTTAGCATGTTTTCAGTAGAGTCCATTTATATTGAGAGTCAAGACAATGTGAATCCATTTCTGATTGGTTCCCGTATTTTAGGCCTTCACAGTGTCACAAACGGGAATAAAGATTACATTTTCACTGATTGCAAAGATTATAATCTGGAATGGACTGGGGAATTACGGGTTCGGCAAGGAACAATCGGAATGAGAGAAGGAACAGAGAAAGGAATTTGAGAATGGGCCGATCAAAGATTACAAAAAACGTTCAATTTCTGTAATCTTTATTCCCGTTTGTGACTCCATGAGGGGTTGTTGTCTTGACTCTCAGTATAAAAGGACTCTAGTTTTCAGGTGATGGTACGATTCATTGGTAGATTGTCCAGCTGCTTGGAAAATCTTTGATATGATAAGATTGTTCTTCCTTCTTTACTGAAAAGGAAGGATATAGGGGCAGAGAGGGTGAAAAAATTTGGGAGGAACACTAAATCTTGAGTCCAAACCTTAGTTTAATTGACCTCTCACAAGAATGCGATGCAGTGCTGTCGGGGTTTGAAGGACCATTGACAGAAATTCTAATGCAGTTTTTGGTAGCTACAACGACAACCTAAGTAGCAAAGGTTGCAATGAATTGCCATCGCAAAGTAAAATTATTACTATTATAGCCGAATGGCAAGTATTGTTGTCTCTTTACCGATTGGAGGAGCTCGGCTCCTTTATCAAAATTTATTGCAGCAAAATTGAAATAAGTTGCATTTATTCTTATGCATTGCACATTGACTACTTTTCTCTCGCATGAAGTCACATTTTATTGATTGTTTAAAATTGGCAATTATCGACCTAATGATGTACAAATTCATATTGTTATTTCACAGTACTAATTTTTTGGAAAATATTGAAAAAATTTTTGCAATTTTATTGCATTAAATTACATTATTTTTGTTGCACCATGCAACTTGGGATGTTGTTGGGGCACACATAAGAGCATCACTCAGACAACTGAGGTAGTTTGAAGACTACTATATTTGTTTTTTTCTATTTCACTTGACTCTCTAATTTGTTTTATTATTTTTTACCATCCAAGATAACTATTTCATGATATATTTTTATGATGGTCACATATCAAGTGGTCACTATCATTTCATGATCACTTGAAATGCTGTCTATTCCTCACTAACTGAAGTTAAGAGGCGCTAAGTGTCAAGTCTCCAAAACTGTTTCATGATATTTCCTAAAGATTTGTTATCTTTTGCACATTGAATTAAAGCTTCCCAGTGAAGATTTTTTTTAAAGAAAAAAACTACTTTGCATATTGAATTGTCGATAAGTAACTATCCTGCAGTCTGAAAAATTCTTTGAAGATATTAAATTGCAAAAATTTCAGCTTTAAGTATGAAAAACAGGGACTTGTTTACTTCAGGTTTGGCAAGACAGAAGCTTAGGTCATCATTAGCATGATTACGTGTTAAATTATTGACAAACAATTTTTAATGTTATAAGTTAAAAAAAGACAACTCATTTTCTTAAGACGGCAGTGAATAATACTCCCTTGTAGGATAATGTGGACTTGCTGCTGTTTTGCCGGAAATGACATCAACTTTAAGGCACTTACTACTTTCATAACTCTTGGTTTGTGCAATAAGGATTAATTTTGCCATTACAGCAGAATCATTCAGTTCATTTTAAATTAGATCGGCGAAATTTTGACAACTCAGTTGTCATTGCTCTTTTTGATACATATCTTGACAGCATTTTATTAAAGATCAGACTCAGATCATTCATTGTTTTATCCAGTTTCAACTAGATTGAAAAAAATTGCAACAAAGATAAAGCATTCAACTGAAAGTGATTAATGTCTGCATGCGTAAATTCAGTTCTCTGATTAAGTTATCATCTGCTGATTTTTAAATTATAATTCAAGGTCTTGAAATTTTTACAAGGAAAAGAACATCAATTTATAAAATAAATAAAAATGAATGGCGGATATTTTCTTTTGTTTCATTTATTGCTGTGAAAAAAATGTTCTGACACAAAACAATACTTTAGGAAATAAAAGGCAATGAATAGAATTTTGATTGACCTACAGTTGCTGCTGGCTTTGCCTTGTACCTATTAAACTTCATAAAGCCAAAATCTAGTTCGCTTAAAAAACTACTATCCATGCATTTGAAAGGTCACGTTTTGTTACAATGTGAATTTAAGCATTCTGTAAGAGTAACATTTTGTAACTGAGCAATATGACTAAAAATTATTCACTCTCTTCCGTTACGTTCAAAGAGGATAAGCATACATACTACACAATTTAGTCCAGCTATTTTAATGATATCTTTCTAAAAAAAAATTGAGCATAATCAAAATGAAAAGAGAGGAAAAAATACAACGTACCATGGCAGAATGCAAAATAATTAAGTACACATATTTTTAAAGTCGTATTAAAAATAAGACACAAAAGTATTATATGAGTATGTTGCCTAAAAAATAGCAAAGAAAAAACTAATAACAAACTATCTGTAGCTTAAAATATATTAAATTAGGGTAAAATTACATAGGTAGGTAAAGGTAAAATCACATAACAAGAATAAATCAAAACAAAAGTACTGGGTTCAGAGGCGAGATGAAAACGCTTTAAATGAATTAGTATCAACTCATTAGTCACTTTACGAACAGTTATTAATGGTGGGGTTGAGCAGTCAAATTAAATTACGAGGCACTATCAAAAAAATAAGAGGAAGAAAAAAAAAAAAAAAAAAAATCAGATTTGAAAGATTAATTCTTTTAAGGGTGTACAATCATACAGTAATGAACTTTTGGACTCTGATGGAGACAGAAATGAAATTAGAGCAATATGTAACGACTAAATCTACAAAAATGAGAAAAATGGCAAAAAAATCTAATAGATACTAAACAGGGCAATATAGCAAGTAGTAATAAATAGCAGATATAAGAATATGAAATTTAAAAGACTATTGAGGTAGCTAAAAAACGTTTTCTGGTTCCATGTGTGCTTAAAATTGTTAAATGTCTTCATGACTGCTATAAAAGTTGTTTTTTTTTAAGTTGAGCTGAAAGCCAGAAATTTGAAGAATCTAAAAAAGAATGAATCTGTCTGTAAGAGCACTTTCGGGATCATGTTTTTCTATTTTAGGTTCAAGCTGTTGGAAATCATCAAAGCCTAAGGTTATCAGATTTTTAAGTTTATTATAATGCTTTTTGCATTTTAATTTCAGAGGTGAAAATATCTCAAGATGAGCGAATAAATGCTCGAAGGGCTGCAACGTATGAGAAGTCTTTAAGATTTTCATTTATGCAGTAATATTTTCCAGAAAAGCGATTTTGAGGTATAATATTGTAGGTGGTACTTAGTTTCATTTTTTTTTTAAAAAACTTTTAAGCACATCATTCAAGCACAGTATGACACATTTCTCCTTCATATTTTCAGAAAAAGAATTTCAGTCTGCAAAAACTTATATGCTCTTACAAAAGACATAGAAAAAGTATTTCGTTTCCAATAATAATACATGAAGTCTGAGAAAAAGTGCAAATTCAGTAAGGTTATCATTATTTTTTTTTTCGACTAACAACAGATCTGATGTATAGTATTGCAATTACTAATGATAATTACTAAAGTCTGTTCTTGGGATGATGTGCTTTTCTCATGTGGTCAACTCGCCTCTGAAAAGAACCTTTTTTCAAAAAATGACTCAAAATATTTAGCTTAACGACAAGGAACTTTTTCTTGGTGATCAGAGGTTTTCATAATTCTAATCTTTGTTTTCGCTTTTACTCTTCATCATCGGAGGCATTTGAGTCATCTGTCAGAAAATCATCTTGATAGAGTCTTTTTGATTCAATTTCATACTCTAGAACTTCATCATCTGCTAGGTGCGAAGAACCTTCCATGAATTTGGCGAACCTGCGGACAAAATTTAACAAGCAATTAGGACTACTAAAAAGCATTAAACAGAATTGAGGGGCTTGGAGGACAAGGCGCATAAATGCAGTTTTTGCTATTTTGAGAAACATGCATTTGCAGTTTTGAAATTGGCGGAAAGAAAGTTCAAATGACTTTTTGATGCTTAATGTTGGAATTTGGGAGCAAATTTTTTACAGAATATGCATTGAGACTAGTTTTACATGAGATCATTAATATCTCAATCTTTCCAAAATCTGCACTTATGCGCCTTGTCCTCCAAGCCCCTGCATTTACTCTAACAGCAGAGAAAATACTGAAAATCAGTAATTGATATGGGTATCAAACAATGCAAGAGTGACTTAGTTTCAGGCCTCCCTGTCCAAAGACAGGCAAGGTTGATAGACTCAGGTCAGTCAAATGACACAATGGCCTTTGGGATATCAGTGGCAGTGGAGTAAATTTGAAAAAAAAGAGGATATGTTCTGTAATTGTTGCAACTTGTGTATGTACCACTTTGCTTTCTTACAATATTTTAAGATAGTCCTTCTTTGAGAGGAAGAGTATTACATTTCTAACTTTATTTGAACTGGCTGTTGCAGACATGTTAAATACCTCCTACTTGATTTTAAATTTTTGATGATTTGTTTTCACCTCCAACACCACTGATAATCTTTATAAATCACTACACAAGGTGCAAGTTTAAGCGTAATGACAAATGTTGTCCCATCAAAGTTTCATGCTGAACATGACTTCTTCAAGAAAAATTATAGAAAGTAACTCCTTGCCAAGATACTAACGTTTCTCGGTAAATAAATTTAGATGCCCTGGCATAAAAAAAACGACATTTTCCTTGAATTAAATCTCTATCATCACAGTTTGTACTGAATGAAAATGTGGCTACCTTAATCTCGACACTTTGGCTCAAATGTTACAAATTTTTTAGACTTAGAACAACACAGGGCGGGGAGGAAACACTGCTCCATTAAGAAGCCTGCAAAAATCTTTAGCTAAATTTTTTTAATTATTTTAGTTTAGCTAATTTTTTTACAGGACGTTATTGGATTCTATGCAAAACTCAGAGACAATG